ATAGAAAATCGTTTGGGGTTTGGGGTAGAGCCTGGGATACATTCCCTTTTGACCGCTCCTTTAACAAAAATGTTGGAGCTCCCCCCCCCCTCCACTTCTAGCGGGGATGTTGCGCCCTAGGTTTTGAGACGCATGCGAGAAGGACAAACATGCAGTGTTCTCCTAAAATCTTCAAGCGCGCTTACATGTCCTGTTTGAAAGCTGCCACGAAGGAGGGTCTAAGCAGGAGCGATCACGGTTTCCTTACAAGTCAAGAAAACACTAGAAGTCAAGGACGAATCATACATGAAGACTCATGTTGGTCAAGCTCTTTGAAAAAGTTTAAGAGTACTGAAATCTGATGTTCAAATTTGCACACTAACCTGATCAAGAGAGACATGCCGTACTAAGCCAGAGACTACAGTTCGCGGAGTTGCTTCTCCAACATCAATCTGCTCAACATACAGCGCATCTGCATCGGGGTGTTTTTCACATTTGACTATTCGTCCTACACGAAGATCGAGACGACCGACATCAATACTATCGTCTGCAGAAGCATCTAAACAGAAAGTGACTCAAGCATCGAAAACAATACAGTCGAGTACAGACATCGTCGATAACTCACTCTGCGTTTTATTCCCTCTGCTAGGTGAAGTCTTCTTTTCTCCACCACTCTTCTTTTCCTTTTTCGAAGATATTTCCGTCCTTGCTTGTTTTGAAGGAGGTGCTAAGGCATCCTGAGGCGGCTCAGGTTTTTCAATAGGCATTGTTTTTGGAACTGGGATTTGTTTGACTAAAAAAGATTTCTAAGCTGGAACGAACCAATCTGTTCGACTAATCATGCACAAACAAATAGTCTCTAATATCTCTTCAATGTTTGAAAAAACTACTTCCAGCAGCTTTCTCAGCCTCTATCAACTGTTGCTGAAGTTCTTGTATCTCCTTCTCAAGTTTCGCCACATCCTTGGTTAACTCCGCGCTTTTCTGTTTGACGAACAGGTCACCTGGAAAAACTCTTCAAAATCTGGTCAACATAATGGTTTCACAAAATTACTTACGAGCTTGATTGAACTTTTTGAATGTAGATTCAAACAATTGTTTGATCTGCTGCTGATTTTTAGCTAGATGAGGAAATACAATTCTAGTTGTGGTCATCTTCGATTTTGCGTTTTCGGTTTTTTTTGAAGACTTCTCAGACTGTGGTCCTTTTCCCAACTGTTTGTTTTTATCTGAAAAAAAAGAAAACTGCTCAAGTTAAGGCTTTCCCTTCACAATTACTTATCGAAGTCGTTCAAAGACATTAATCTCTTGAAATGATCCTAGTCGTTATCGCAAAAGGAAAGGAAAGAATACTGGCAACAATGGAAAAGAAGACGAAAAGTGAACAAGCCGAGAACTTGCAAAAACCAAAAAA